CGCGCAGAGTCCCATTCATTTTGAACCTGATGAAGGGTACCCTGCGCGGCCCCGAAAGCGCTTGACTCTACTTTAAGTGACTTCTGACAAATAAAAAAATAGAGATTCACTAAAATTGACTTGTTTGTCATGCTGGAGTGCTGGTGACATATCTGTACAACATCCCCGATTCTCCTGGCTGAAAATCTGAACTGCGCATGCGCCCGCCCCAAGATGCTTTGCGGCCGCCGAGATTTTTCCGATTTCCGGACGGATTTTACGGCGACACAGGTAAGTTTAAACCTCTTTTAAAGCGGGATTTGAAAAAAAATGTTTTCGCATATATCTACTGCTTACCAGCAGTAGATATATGCAAAAAAAACAGAGGGTTTAATAACCCTTTAAGGATGGAAAAGGGATTTAGGGGGAGGAGTCTGCAAAACAGGAAAAGGAACCAAAAACTCCATCTGTTGACTGAATATGGGAATACAATATATTCATATGCAATACTTTGCCTTTACCTGCCTAAACCCTTGCAGCACTGAGGGTCCCCAGTTCGAATCCCCGGCCACGTCACTATCTGTGAGTTTGCATGTTCTCCCTGTGCTTGTGTGGGGTTTCCTCCTGGTACTCCGGTTTCCTCCCACACTCCAAAGACATGCTGGTAGGTTAATTGGCTCCTCTCTGATTTGGCCCTCGTATGTATGCATGTGAGATAGGGACCTTAGCTTGTAAGCTCCTTGAGGGAAGGGACAGATGTGAATGTGCACATATGTAAAGTGCTGTGTAAACTGTCGCACTATATAAATACCTCTAATAAATAAATAAACAATATAATAGAACATTTATTTTTAAGTCCTTACCATAATAAATAATTCAAATATATGCAAAACACCTATGCATTCCCTTTAAGCTTACATCAATAAAATGCATTTACAATCACAATTACAAAACCAAGCTTATAGATATAACCATTAAAGTGACATCAAACCCTCAGATTTTTTAACATAAACCAATACTGTAATGTGCGCCTTACTGTAATCCATGGTCGTTTCCCTTCTCTTTACTGCTCTTCCTTTTAAATCCTTATCTCTTCTCATGCTGGGGGAGAATTTCCCTTTGCAGCAGACTGCCTCTTCCTGTAGTGCTGGCTCAGGTTGTGAACCTTCACACAGACACCATGTATCCATTCCAGAGACAAGGCAGTCTGCTGCAAAACAGAAGTTCTGCCCAGCATGAGAAGACATGAGGATTTAAAAGGAAGAGCAGCAAAGAGAAGGGAAACAACCATGGATTACAGTAAGGCGCACATTACAGTATTGCTTTATGTTAAAGAATCTGAGGGTTTAATGTCACTGTAATTATAAATTAAAGGCCCAAGACCATTTATTTTATCATCAGCTTTATTGATCAGCGCAGGGGGCAAAGCTAACTTTTCTATGGGATCCAATTGGTTTCCGGGTCAGTGAAGCTGAATGTGCTCACTTTAAAGTTGACACAACACACTAAAACATGAAAGGGAGGATGCACAGAGCTGAATGTGACAGCATGATCATGTGATTAAAGGAGAAGTATGAGGTGAGTGCTTTTCACTCACCACATAGTTCTAGCCGACCTGTGACATTGAGACTGTCACTGGTCGGCTCAGTAGATCGGGAGGTGAGCGAACACATACCGGCGTTCGCTCACCTCTCGATGCTGTCACGGCTCTCTGCCGTGACAGGGGAGGGGCTGGATTTCCCCCTCCCCGCTCCGATCCTCTAGCGCTGACTGGCGGAACGGATGGGGGAGGGGGAGGGTACAGCTTGCTCTGCCTCTAGATAGGCAGAGCCAGCTGTCACTCACGCAGCTGGGCGGATCCCGTCATCTAAGTCGGGATCCGCTCCGGCTGCGGCGTCTCAGTATACCGTGAGCTGTAGCTCGCGGTATACTGAACTTTGGGTGACGGGAGGACGCTAGTTTGTGTCCTCCCGTTACCCTAAGGAGAACTATGGGGAAAAACACTGACCCCATAGTTCTCCTTTAAGCTGCTCTTTAAAGAGAACCTTTTATTTGACTTGTACGGAATGGCAGCACGTACTTACCTTCCTTGTGCTCCCTCGCTGTCCTGATTGCTCTCAAACTACCCAGCGCTTCAAGCACGTTGAACCTTATACAGGGCTATGCACGTCCCCCACCTTCTGAACAGTGTGGCAGCACTTAGGTTTGGTGATTGGCTATTCAGGCAGGGAGACTGTAAAATTCTCCCATACCCATTAGTACCAGATATTTTTTGGGACAACTGTCATGAGATCAGGACTGTAGGGTGATGAGGGGACGGTAAGTACTTTACATACCTAAGCCCTCACGGGTAGGGCCCTATTTACCTTCTTGTCTTGAATTGTATTGTAATTGTAACGTCTTCCTTATATTGTAAAGCGCTGCGCAAACTGTTGGCACTATATAGATCCTGTATTATAATAATAATAATAAATACTTTTTTTTCCAGCTTTCTAGCTGCCTTTTTTTGGGGGACATATTAAGTGCACCAGCAGGCGGCCCTTGCTCATCTACTGAGTTCACATAATGGCAATTAAACGCTGGATAGGAGAGGAGTATTGTAGTGGAGGTGGCCATAGAAATCATAACACATTCAAACAATTCTCCAAATTAACAACAGTGCTTCCTTCTTGTGTATATTGGCCTTTTATGAGCTCTGTGCTGACAATATGAGGAAAGGATCACAATATTGTATTAGCACTGCTGTCAGTGTCATGCATTAAGCATGCTGGGTCCCAGTGTTGAAGTGATTTGCCACCCTAAATTTTAAATAAATAATCAGCATCAGAATACGTCCCCTTTCAGTAGTCATAGGACAGATTCAGGTACTTACGATGATCGCATTTAAAATAATTTTCTTAAATTGAATAAATAATTGCAAAAATTGGCATTTTGTATATCTAGCTAAAGTTCAAAAGTCATATTTAGTTATAGGTGGAGGCTGGCGAGCTGAGTCACCACCTGGCTTCTTATAATTCAACAGTGTGATGTCCTAGTCCCTATTCTGTGCCTGTCTACCTGAGAGTTTTTGGTGTTCCTGTCCACCTCTCTGTGTTCCTCTAGTTACATGTTTTATAACAGATCCCAGCAACCTCTAGTAGATGGGCATGCAATGCCGTTTGCACGTATACTCACCATCATTGGCTGTAAATGAAAGCACACTAGGCTGTCAATTGCAAAGCCTGAGGTCATCTGGCATGCTGTGCAAAAGAAGCCCACAGAAAAACCTACAGCTGTCCCAGTGGTGAACCTAAGGAACAAAGGGCCCTGGTGCAAGATTTTTTTTATGCCCCCCCCCAAAAAAAAACCCGCAGCGCTCGGCCAGCTTTCACTTTCTCTCCTCCCTGCTGGGACACAGAGCAGCGCCCAGCGGGGAGAAAAGAAAGCAGGTATGCGCCGCTGTATCGGCAGAAAAATGGCACTTTCGGCATTTAGCCAAAAGTACAACTTTCGGCCGATATGTTTTGGCGGCCAATATATCGGTGCGTCCCTAATATATATATATCTCCCTGAGAAGTAGAAGAGAAGTTCAAGTGGTTTGCCTCTCCTGTATCTACTAAAAACCACAATATCAGTTTTTGGGAGGACCGATCATTTAAAAAACTCAATGGACTCTTTCAATTGATTGTTTCTCAAGGCAGAAGAAGGAGCAGAAATGTTGCAAAGTGCAGGAACCCAAAGCAAAGCAATCACAATTCACCCTTCAATAATAAGACCCCTAAAAAGTGATTCCTGGTTTGGTTCATTATTGTCCATCCCCTCAATGTCCTCTGTACTTCCTTATTGAATAAGCCTGTATGATCCCCGATGACCTGGACTGAGTTCATTTCTCTATAGATACAGAGTAACAAGTGATGTGACACTTACCGAGCATCTGTCCATTTCCCAGACCCGCAGACAGGCCGAGGATGACCGCCAGGTAGAGGATATCCTTTCTGTCCATGTTCCCGTCTAACAGATCATGTTCAATAATCGGTCAACCCGAAAAAATATTTTAAAAATATTCTTATATCGCCCCTGGAACGGCAGCTTTGTTTTTCTCGTCTTGCGATATCAGAAGGCTGGAAGGATCGGAGAGGGTCCGTTGGGTATTCCCTGCTGCCTCATTAATTTCTTCTGTAGAGCCAAACTCCTCCTGTGACACATCTGAGTCTCTGCACGCTGCCATAATTACCAGCCATGCAGAGAGTGACACAACTGGCCAATATGGCTTTATCTTCCAGCAAGGAACTGCGACCAGCAAATACCATCATAATAACTCACCCTAAAATCCAGGAAGTCAGCCCGATTTTTACTTCTCTCACCACGTTACCCTGCATGATGTACAAACCAAACTGCAGCCCCTTGTAGCTGCCCCCTGACTTGTGCCATTCATTTCTAACTTGACTATAACCCACCAAATTATTGGATAACCCATGAGAACCCAAACTGAAGCAAGCATCTATTACCAACAGTGGCGGAACAATCGCCGGGGCACAGGGGGGCCCGGCCAGGACATCCACCTGGGTCGCTATGGCATCTCAGGCTGCTGGCTTTCACTGGCGGCTGTGAGGAGGAATGCGCCACTGTGCAGCGCTGTGTTCCTCCTCACAGCCGCTGCTGAGTCACTGACAGCCAGCAGCAGAGGAGGAGGCTGGGCCCGGTGTCGGCGGTGAAAGAGGAGGCGGGGCCCAGCAATGGAGGAGACAGGGCCCGGCGATTGAGGAGGTGGGGGCCCAGCGACGGAGGAGCCGGGGGCCCATCAGTGAACGTGAAGGAGGAGGAGGCAGACAGTGGATCGGGGCTGACAGGTAAGAGGGTTTGACCAGCCCGACTGAGACCCTGCAGAGCCCACCATGGAGAGTATATGGTGGGCTCTGCTGGGTTACTCTCAGGTGGGTTGTTTGGGTTATCAGGTGGGCGTAACTCGACATCACAGGGCCCCATACAAAATTTTGCTATGGGACCCTGTGATTTCTACTGTAGTAACGCCCCTGATTACCAACTGAATGTATCATCAGGAAAGATTGATATTTCATTGTTGTGGAACACCAAGCCAATTCTTCATACCAAGGACAGTCCCTTAAGATGTGGGGGCGATTGGCACCTATCACGCTTATTACATAATCTAGCGTAAAGAACAATGATGGTGTACCTACCTAAACAGGCCAACCAATTAAAACATTTATATATTTTTTAATACAAACAGTGTAAGTACCTGAATTTGACCAGGTATCAGCCTTGTAATCCTTCAAGAGCTCAGACTGGGAGAGGAAGACACAGCACAAGGAACCAATCAGTTGTGCTGCAGTGTTCATTTGCTACCAAGGATCACGCCGATGGGGTAATAGAGCAGAGTGACAGAGAGATGAGCTTACGAGTCTGCTGCTTCTCCTTACTGTCCAGTCACATGCTGGGGGAGGGACAAAACCTTAATTGTTATTCAACTGCAGCAGATTAAAAGTGACCTCCTGTCCTGCAAGTCACAGACGTGCTACGTGGAAGACCCGTGTAAATCTGAGAACTGGTGGACAAAAGTACAAATCCTCTGTATTTCATCTATGTGAAGTGACAAGTCTACAGAGGCTCATACAAGCAAACTAGAACATGTACACCAGCTTTCCTGCACTTTATACTACACAGCTATTCTTTGCACTGACTTGTACATATAATGATAAGTATAGCTTGGAGTGCATACATATAAGCAAGGTTTCATTGTGAGTCAGGGTTCCAATGGGAAGAAAAAAAGAGGATTTAATTAGATCCTCAGGGGGGCTATTAAAAATATGCAGCTAAAAGAAGAACAGCTGCTTAACCCCTTACCGCCGGCCCTTTAAGAGTTTAAAATCCTGGAGGCATTGTATGGGCTTCCTGTGATCACTGCGATTGGTTGTCACAGTGATCATGTGATCAGGAGCACCCAAAGTTTCACTGTGTGACCAGAAGGTGCAGGTGACTATGCGTTCAAAGTGCTGGGTGCCACTGAGTGCGCTCCCACAAAACATGCTAACATGCATGGCAGCGTCTAATACAGTCCACCTCAGTGTTGCCGCATTTATGTGTACGGCCAGCAGCAAGAAGGTCAAATGCAACCCAAACGTCTATGTCTTCAAACTATAGGCAAATGACAGATGGCGCAACTTCCTGTACAACATGCCAGTAGCCATTTTGTGTGTTTGAGATTCCAGAGACCTCAGCCAATCCATTCACTGGGAAGTAAAAGAGATCCCAGATACTGTATATAATGTATACAAGCATGTACATGAATTTGTCGAGTTTTGGGGATAGGTAGCACTGAGGGCGGATGGCCAATACTAGATTTCCTGTACCTGATTGTCCATACCAGATTCTCCATACTGGAGTGTCCATATTAGAGTGCCCATACCAGAACGTCAGATACCTGAGTGCCCATACCAGAGTGCCCATACCAGAGTGCCCATACCTGAGTGCCCATACCTGTGTGCCCATACCAGAGTGTCCATACCAGAGTGCCCATACCTGAGTGTCCATACCAGAGTGTCCATACCAGAGTGTCCATACCTGAGTGTCCATACCAGAGTGCCCATACCTGAGTGTCCATACCAGAGTGTCCATACCAGAGTGCCCATACCTGAGTGTCCATACCAGAGTGCCCATACCTGAGTGTCCATACCAGGCCCTGCTTACTACTAAATTACATTTATTTATTTATCACCATTTTGTTTACTCTGATATGGCAATATCTGTTGATGAATTTGTCACAGCCATAGCGACATAGCAGACATTTTATGAATTTGTTGCAACTAAGGAACTGTTGCAAACCTTTTCCTTTTCTTTCCCTTTTTCTTCTTTTTTTTATGTTACAGGAGTTTTACAGGTCGAATGTTTGGTGCAATGTGGTTCACTGCACCCAAGCAGTGTTCTCAGCCCTGCCTGAGTTCTACTGGACTACAAAACACCTTCCCTCAAGGAGATGAGGAGGGGGGTGTTCTTCGGTAATCAAGCTGGGCAGGACTGACAACACTGATTTGGATTTCAATGCAGCAGAGACAATGTTGTCATCTCACTACAGGAAGTTAGGAGCTCGTTGAATTTCTGTAAGGATTAACAGGCATTTATTTTTCTATATTTGCAGCATTTTAAAAGGACAAAACAGACTTGTTCAGCCTAATCTGTGACTGCAGATAACGTTACATCAACACAACACTGGAAATTGAAATGCATACTCCATCTTACTGAACATGTCTGATGGTACTCTCATATCTATGGTCCAGTGAAATCACAAGGGGGGTAAGGGGGATGCGGCCCGCACCGGGTGACACCATTGGAGGGGTGGCACCAAACTGACTGTCAGTGATTTTGGTGTCACCCCCCTCTGAAAAGTCGGGCACTCAGTCAAGGACAGAGAGCCGGACAGTTGCTCGAGAGAGAGAGGAGGGAACCCAGCGGCATACCTTATTCTGCCGCGTGACGTCCCCTCCTCTCTGCCAGCTTCCGTCACCAAGATGACCGCCAGCAGGTAACAGCGGTACTACGCGTGACGTCATCACACGCATGTGCGATGATGTCACACGCGTACGCGATGACGTCACTGCGGGGTGGCGCCCCGCCTCAGGACGCCTCTGCTATGGTGTAACATGTAACAGGGATATACTCCCCCTGCACTTGAAATGCAGATTTCTTCTCCCTGCAGCTGCATCATCCATTCACTATGAATGGAGAGACTACAGTCGTATATCCCAATGGAGCACAAGTGGGGTGACACCACTTCACTTGTAGCCCACTGTTTACTTCCTCCCGCCCCAAACAGAAGGTCCATACGATAAAGGGCTGGAGGAATAGTCTGCAGTAGCCAGAACATTGCTCCCACCATCCACTGATGGAAGTTGCAATGCTCTGCAGGCCCCAATGTAAAACTTTTATAAATGCATATTTTGTTTTATTAATGGGGGTGCATTTATTGAAGGTGAACTATGACTTAGGAGAACCTGTAACCTGCTCAGAGCCTCGAGGGCGATAAGCCCGTTCTGTATCATTGTAACTCTTCATATGTCGACTTTGTGGGTTTCAGGAAAAGGTTTTCAGAGATTGAAAGGTACGACAGGTTTTCAGGCGTAGCAGATGCACAAAAATAGAATGTCACATGACTTATAAGGCAGAAAAAACACCACCAATCAGCATTGTTCTGCAAGTCGTTTCATAAGGAGGCTGGCAGTACTGTTACAAGCCGTTACACGCACTTTGAGAGGACCGGTCCCTGGGCTCCCTATTAACTTGTTTTTCCCACTGCAAGAATGGCATCTGCGTAATAGCTAGTTGATGTTACCATGGAGGATGAGCCAATCGAACGGCCGGGAAAAATAATAACCAGTGTTTAAAGATGGCGGAGGAGGAAGTCCGAGAAAACGTTATTTTCCAGGAATTAAAAGGATTTCTTAAACTGCGCTCTTTATTTTATTAACAGTTTGCATCTTTTTATCCGTGGTTCTAGAAGTGGATCCAAAGTCACTGACATCTCATATCAGTTGTAACATATTCATTTAATTCCAATAGTTGTTTTCCATTTTGTTAAGGCCTCACGCAGACGGGCGCACGAGGTCATAGGACGTAAATAGCGGGCGTATTGCCTCGCCCAAGATTACACAGCCGCCCATAGTAGGGGACGGGTGTAGGCGGCTGTACACCCATTCACGCCACTACTTCCATAAATCCCGTGCATGTGTAAAGCCGGGCGTCCCTGGACATAGACTAGCTGTATCCAGGGTTGTATGCCCTTATGAATGCAGCCTGCAATTTACGTTCCATGGCCTCATGCCCCATGTGCCCTTTAAGCCATAGGCCTTATGCACACAGATGTATACGCAGGAGAGTGCAGGCAGCAACATCCTGCATAAAAAGAGGTCTATAGTACATCTCAACTCATATGCACATACATCGATCCCTTGTGGTGGCGAACCTTGGCACTGGCCAAAACTACAAATCCCA